TACATGCACAATGGTGTCAGCTGCCAAAACGTAAGCTGCTTTTTCAGATATTTTGACTAAAATGACTGAGACACAAAGCACTAAGAATAGAGCAAGAATAACTCTAACAAAGTGCAAAACCTTAAAAACTTGGGAAACAAGCATAATTTCTTACATAAGATGCCAAAACCCAAGCATACCATTTGTGTGACCACTGCAGTGTAATTCATGTTAGATTTACTGTCAGATTTTAAAAGATACATGTATTTTGTAGACCATAAGTTATCTCAGATGTCTCAATCAGGCAGAATAGAGGAAGTCCATGGAAACAGAAGTATTTGCAGCTCTAATTTTCCTGTAATTAACTTCAGCCAAGATTTAATTGCTCTATTTAGTGCATGTTGAAGATTAAACTGGGCAAATGTATTTCAATACTGGCTGATTGAGAAAAAAAGGGAGTTTCCTAGAACGCAAACAGAGCTCTTATTTACGCAGACAAAATAGGACTCCTTTTCTTTACCTGTTGTCATGACAATTCCAGCAAGGACTTTTCTACGTGCATGTGGAGACGTGAAGTTTTCCGTCAAATCACTGAATTTATCCACAACCAAGCGTGCGACAGCGTCAGCTAAAACCTGTGGGATCACACAGAAATGCACATTAGACAATTAAACAAATATGCCAAAAAATCACAGCAGCATTAGGTTATAGATTTGCACTTTTCAATGATCTGACACAAGAAATCAAAGGAGTTTTTATTGTTCACTTTAAAGAGGACACTGAGGCATCAGCAGTATGTCAAGGATGTGATTTTCAGGCATCCTGAGCACTCGTGGCTCTTCCACATCGATTAAAACAGGGTCAGACAGCCCTAAGCCAAGCATCAAAGTACCTAATGCTCATATTATTATGAACATTTGAGGCTGAGGAGAACAACTGGACAGACAGATAGGTCTATACTTTCATGCTCAAACCTCAAAACACATCATTTCAGTTTCCTCAACATTCGACCTGACAAGCAGTTTGAAGTTCAAAAACCAGGCTCCTCAACCCAACATGTAAACCTTTTATAACAATCAAATTCATTATCTATTACATAAATAGGAACAAATCTGTTTTCCACAGTGATTCAACATTTTCTCATTTTTACAAGACATATATAAATTTAGGAATAGAAAATGTCAATGCATAACCCTAAATAAGCCATCTCAGCATGAGGAAGGATTTATCTCTTTCACCTTCAGGAATACTTGAACTACAACAGCTACAGCCTTGTTGTATCTTGCAAGCAGTGTGAGTCAGGCTGTGAGGGGGGCTAACTTCTAATAGTAAGGAACACTTGAAAACACCAGTCGTGCTCTCATCGAACAACAGTTCAGTTCAACACTGCAGCTCATCTCACCTGTTGTTTTTAAGGAAGCTGGAACCCTAACAGCTAGAAAAGATGAGCCAAAACTCAAACCCTTGAGTTTTCACCTGAAAAGAAACTGAAACCCATAGCAATCTATGATAGCACAGCTGTTTGTTCCCAAGGGAGCCACTGAGGAAGGCAAGTTACATGCTAGCTGGAATTACTTTGTGATTCTGTGATCCTTCCAGGTCACCAAACATGGGTAAATCACTACACAGATCCTCAACCTACCCAGCCAGACGGAGGCTGACATACATCATGCAATCACCCGTTCCCTCGGGGAACCAGGGCTGCCTTCAACAGGTTCTCATCAAGAGGTGAGAACTGAAACTGCATACAAGGTGGACAGATTAGCTTTTCCCAAAATGATTCTTTTTTTCACATACGAAACTGTGGTGCTGGTATACAAGTGAGAACACAGTGAGTCCCTCTGGGAAGATGTAGCTGGCACAGAAGGATGGGATGGGGCTGCAGCTCAAGCTGGAACTAAGCTGCTGGCAAGGAAACCAAAACCCACTTGAATGAACACGAAGCCAGACACTGGGGAGGGCTGATAAGAAAGGACTAAGCACAACTCAAGCGAGACAAAAAGACCTCTAGAGAGTCAAACAATACAGGAGGAACTGCAGGTGCAGGAGGAAGAAAATCACCACCAGAAAACAGGCAGTCATATTAAGACTTCTCTTTTTCTCTTTGAAACTCAAGTTGCATGACAACAGGGGGGTGGTGAGGAATAAACACTATTAAATGTCTACAGATTTAGTTACTACGGTTTTAGTCTTTTATAAGAATACTCACCCACTAAATTAGAAGTATTACTCTTTTCTCCCTGTTACACTGACATAGTTAAGAGTCATTAAGAGCATGGAAGAGATGGGAATAAGGCAAGCTATGAACACACCACTGCAGCATGAGCAATGAGACTCCCTGGCCTAAAATGATATCCTTGCTGTCCCCACCTCAAAACCAAGGACTTGAAGCTGTCTCCACATCAAGCCCAGAGCACTGACTGGCCTGGGTAGGGATCTTTAACTTCTCATTCTGACTCTACTCCCTTTCACATAAGTATATATTAATTGGAACAGCAATGGAGCTCGTGTCTCACCTTCCCAGTGAGTGCCCTAACATCTGACACACAGTTCCTCTACCCCCGCTCCTGCATTACCTCATTATTCAAAGTTGGGTAATTCCAAAAAGGGAAGACCTAAAATAGCTGACGGTTTGCTCATTAAGGCATGTGAGCTCAAAGCTACTTTGGGTGCATTTTTCCTTTCTCTGATGAAGTTACAGTGAATCCACAGACTGATTTTGGTTAATACATATCTTGCAGCAATGTTGTAGTAGAACCACCCTGACCATCCATGCTTTAAAAGATTCTGAAGTTGACAAAGTTCAGGTCTGGCTGAATCTGAAGGAAGACCTTAGCAGGCCACAGAGACCACCCCAGATGAATGCTGGTGATTACCTGTGTGGTGGAACCAAAGGCAGCTTGCTTTGCAGAGACTGGTTTTAAAAGTATTAAGCCATGGGATCAGCAACTCAATAACCAACTCTACAGACCATAAAGTTAAATATGCCCATTTTATAAGCTGATTCCTGATGTCAGCTGCCCTTCTGTACCATTTGAGAGCTTGCATTCCATTCTCTCCAGAGTGCCTGCAGCTGTCAGGAAGTGCAGGATCACCTATGTGCATTTCAGCAGATACTCACCGTCACCACTGAAGCAGGGACCATCTCTCCTCTCAACTCTGCTCTACTGATTTCTCTCATGAGGCACCATAAAGTAACACACCAGCTAGACGCTAGTTTTGAACCTGCAACCCAGGCAGTCAATTCCAACATCTCCATCAGCACAACCACACTGTATTGTAGAATCCCAGACTGGTTTGGGTTGGAAGGGAGCTTAAAGCTCATCCAGTTCCAAACCCCTGCCATGGGCAGGGACACCTTCCACTTTTATTATTTCCACTAAACATTTATGATTTGGATTTTTCCTGCCCTTGCAAATTTTTCTCTTCCATTTTCTCCCAACCCAACCAGCATTTTATTTGGTCTATGGGTTATAACAAACCCTATCCTCATTACATCACTCCTGCACTCTCCAGTGATTGCAACCTCCCCCACTTGAGGATTAGCCCCAAATCTAACATCTTTACACATCCTTAGTAAAAAAAGAATAAAAAATGAAACAACTCACCAAGTTAAAAATAAAGATAAATAAAGCAGAACCTGAAAACATCACAAATGTTTAAAACCCTTACTAATAATTAATAACAACCCTTAATATAACTCTTATTAATCATTAAGACCAGGTTGGATGGGCCTTGGGCAACATGGTCTAGTGGAAGGTGTCCCTGGCAGTTATAACTGGATAATCTTAAGGTCCTTTACAACCCAAACCAGTCTGTGATTCTATGATTAATACACACCAGACCAAAATCACTAATATGTACCAGACCTCATATCATTCCAATAACTTGACAGCTAATTAGACTTAAGAGCAGTGTGATCTAACACACTTTCTGCACAGTGAAGTGCGGAAAGGATGATGACATCCTGATGACAAGCTGCTCAAAAGCCTCTCAATAAATAACTGACTTGGAATCGGGTCTACACGAGGCAGTACCAGCAACCTTCCCACCCAGTGTATTACTGGCATTACTCCTAAAGCCCACTGGGTTCTCCTCCACAATGGAGCAGCTTTTACCACTCCACACCTATGAGAGGCAAAACACAAGTATCCCTGGGCATGCCTTGTTGTACACAATATGGGTATCAAAGTCAATGTAGGTGAGCTGGAAAAAATTATGAGTTGTGTTTGTATGTGTTGCTTTTTTGTTATTTAGGACCGTACCCTACGCTCAAATGCCCCGAGCATCCCATAAGCTCTACCTGGGACTAAGTCAAAACCTGGCAAAAGCAAGGAGCTCAACAACCCAGCACTGCCCAGCAGTCCATGGAAATCCCTGAAAGAAACGGCTGTTTAGCTTAGCTGTTCTACACCAGGTGGAGAAACAACTTCACACTCTTAGAATGACCTCTCTTTCACATCTCACCTTGTGCTCTTTCCCACTTCTCTATTCTGGTTCCGATTTTCACTGTTTTATTGATTCAAGAACCAGTAATACACATTACTGGCAGTGAATTTTTGGAGTGGGGGGGGTTTGAGGCCAAATCTACTTCTCAAGGCACAGCAGAGAACGCACGCTTAAATGACTGTCTACTGAAGAAATCATAACTACCTGAAATAGCATGATCCTAGATTTGAGATTGAGGGAAACATCCATCAATAATGCATTAATTTTGCAACATTAAAAAAGAAAGCATCCAGGAATTCCTAAACTATGCATATGGTCCATGCATTTTGAGAAAAGAACACACTTAAAATAGTCACAACATCTACTTACACTCTTCAACCCCACATTATCAAATCAGATCAGTATCTAACAGTTTTAATAAAATCTAAACCAGTGGTTTTTGAGATAGAAAAGGTCAAAGCCTTGACATTCTCATAATAAACACAAACAATGTTTTGTCAAAGGCAAGTATTTGAATTTAGACAGGCATATAGTACCATCAAAAAGACCCAAGAGACACAGTAGAAAGAGGGCTGTTGAACAATCATTACTGTAGTTTGATAGGGAGAAACATAAGCAAGCAGATAAGGGAGAACTTTTACTCCAATCTAGCTACTGTAAATGTCTGGTCTATGTCTGGAATGTTTCATACCTTCCCTAGTTCAGCAGTTATTTGATTTAAACTATTTCTCATCCAGATTTACTTATCCAGATAACTTTGATATACTTATTAACCAGATTTAGAGCACGAACCTTCAGATGACAGCTATTTAACCATGAGTCTCGGATACATGCACTGCAAATGTGTCACTTAGACCCTGGAAATATGTGGCAACTGCCTCACTTAATCTGTCCTTGACTTCCATTATTCACCTCTGTTCACGCCAACAATTTCAGTTTGCAGAAGAGAATGATTATCTTCTCTGCTAAAAACTGTTGTATCAAATAACAATTTAACTCAAAGCAGTATTTCTGACTTGAACTCCTTCACAGCCTTGCTGCCTAACATGAGCAAGATGTGATTCAAGCTTTCCTCAGCACAAACCATAACCCAAGCTGGCACTGCACTGGGCTTGGTGCTCTCTTACGTGACATGATCAAGGCTGAAAGCATCAGCAATGAAGTCTCCTCTTTGTCCCGAAAGAATACAAAGAGTTCATTC